TATTACAAGTAATTACAGTTAGCAACTTTTTGCTTTACAGCTTCTGAGGGAAATGGAAATACGAATTGCAATTATAAAAGAAGTGTCTAACGCACGCTTTTTACACGCTTCTAATGACTGGAGGGAGTGTCTTGCTTTGAAACGCATTTTTTCCATCAGAAAAGAGTCAGTCAAGTCCTCTTGGACTTTAAAGAAATGGCAACTGTATGATTGAGCCTGGTCACCTCTGGTCTGGTGTGTAGATTTCTCTCCTGAAAATGAGCGCATTATATTACGAGACCACATCTATCGTTAACGAGCACAAGTATTCTTTTTTCGTAAGAACTAGTAAAGTTCCCGCTTGGAACGTTCTGTCTCCTGCTTCCGTAGTGTGCTGATTCTGTTGCTGCGTTCCATTCAAGTATTTGTAATAATTTTATGTATTGACGATTTTTTTTCATATGACTTGTAATTTTATTTGTATTTTCTTATTTATTTGTTTCCATTTTGTTTATTTATTTCGCTGTCAATGTCATGAAATTCCGTGTACTGACCGTCCATTGCCAGATCAGCTCGCTAGAGGCAATTATGTCAAGTAAAGATTAAAGATAAATATTAAAAATTGTAAACCAACAAAATTTTTAAGTTAAAATTTCTGACGAAGACCACATGTTATCATACTTTGTTAAAAAAATATTTATTATATTATCAGTATCAGCTCCAATTTCAAACTTGAACAAATTTTGTCATCAAACATTAGTCTTCATGTAGAAGAGTCCTTCACGGTTGCTTGTCGTTTGCGGGAGCTAGCACAGCATACGACACCAAGGGGACTATGGGATGAAGAGAGAGTTAAGAGATACCTCCTTCCTATGTTCCCCCGCGCGCAACGGCTACGCACTTCCTCGTAGACGAAAGGGGTCTTTTCCATTCTCGTACCCAGAGCCACTCAGCTTGATTTGTAACGGACAAGAATGTAAACCTCTCTACACGAGGCCTTCGGCCTCGCTTTGCGAAGATTTAGCTGTGTGAAGGCGTCTTTGACAGAACCCATTCTCGTCCCCAGAGCCTGTCGTTTCTTTTGGTTGCGTAGCAACCTGATTGCGTAAATATTTGAACGGCGACAAAAGCACAAGATAGTAAACAATTAATGGATGAGGTTTTGAGATACTTGGAACAATCAAGGTCAAATTAAAAGATATTAGCCGAGACCGACGGCTGAGGATGATAACATTTGAGAAAACCGTGATTATTTCGGATATCACAAAAAACGAATCAAATAATTGTTTAGTTATGCATTGTCTTCAACTAACGACAAACACACCGTCGCACGGTGCACCGCAGTTCGACAGTGCTCTTGGAAATCATGCATTGTGCGCGCAACCCGCTAAGTACACATTAGTCAGTTATCTGCTAGAAGACAACTAACTAATCGGCCGCTACCACTATCTATCTGTAGAACAATGTAAAACACAGAAACAGCCCTCGTTTTTATAATCAATTTTTAATCAAGGAGTTGTTTTAATATATCTTTAATTAGCTATGTTAATGTATTTTGTACAAGGCATTTGAAAACATTACTACAAAGAGAAATATCTTTATTTCACGACCGTCGCAAATAACTATTTTCTGACTATCACCTGTAAACTATTTTCTCATTACGTAAAGAAAACCAGCACGCAGAAAAACAAAAAAAAAAGCTTAAACAGAAAAAATCTCTTTAATTCGTCAAGTCAAGCGAATCTTTACTTTCGAACACTGTGGATAAAACTTTTCACTGTCGACACTGAATTAATTTAAGACAATGGGCATTACCTTGATGTTGGTTCATTTGAAACGTTTTCAACTGATCCTGTTAAATCAGAACAATTGCAAACAAATCATAAATGACAGCCCGTGTTTACATTAGGAGGATTTACGAAAGGTTAAAGAGGATTCATCATTCAGTGCGCTCTTGCAAAGCCTGCAAACAACCAATCAATCTGGCGAACGGACGAGGATTTTTTTTGTCACGAACGCACTAGTCGTGGTACTCTTCTCTAGTTCCAAGGCATTTTGTCAGTACTGTGGTATCTTCCTTTCGTATGTGTTAATAGGAAGAACAGTTTTGTTTTCCATCTTTTTGCACCATTAACTGTTAACTTGCCACGCTAACCTGGACCCTCCTACCTGAGATACCCCATACCTCGAACAATAACAAGCAAACATGGCGCGAAATTTGTCAACCAATCACAAACACGCATGACCAAAGCGAATGAGAAATTATTTTCGATACTGAAATAAAATCGTTCATCCGTACTCTGTGTTCTCATATTATTCAACTATATCTACCTTGAGGTAACAATATTGAATCTCATCCTTATGTTACCGGTTGTTTCGATACAAGTTTTTTGACTTGAGGTGTATGCAGCTTCAAGCACTTGGCTTAAAGAACGAAGAATATTCACCCCAAAGGTTTTTCTTGTTCACGCGCAAACCATACTTGAAGTCATCGAAAGTTTTGTGTAATTTCAGTGATTGAGGTCGTATTGAAACTACCGGTTTCTAAAAGTTATATTTTCAGGAGCGGTATTAAAAGCTATAATCACTTTTTAATTGGAATAATTCCAACATCGTTTCCGGGCAAAACCCCTCGGAAAGTTTGTTGTAGTTAACCGACAGACAATAATCATTGGGGAAATTGTCCTTTTTTTGGCGTCACCCGAGCCTTTTAAAGACGCTGTCGCTCAGTCAATCCTTCCTTCCTTCATCTATCAATCATACACATCACTTTCATCGTAGCATCATTTTTCCTAATAGTAACTAATCACTGTTCATGATAGAAGAATATTCTTTACGTCCCAAATCTGCAAAGAAAGTGAAAAGTCATAGTTATAACATCCTAAGAAAATGACACAACAGGGCTGCCCTATACATATCTATGAGTATTGCTCTTCTCCGCGGATGCTCCCGCTGCGATTGCAAGAAACATTAAAAAGTAAGCGCACAGGACGATGGGAAGGTTCTTCTCTTTCCCCTTCCCATCATCCCCGCCGCGTGCATTGTTTTTTTTTCTCTCCCTAGCCTCTCTATGACACAAAGAGCCCTCTGTGGAGGAGAACTGAGGAAGAGCATGCAGCGGGAGTCCGATTTAACAAGAACCACATCAGCTCATTATATAATCAATCTTAAATGAAAATTTAAGACAATAATTTTGTGATACTTTCAAACTTTATTCCATTAAAACACAAAATTTGATACCGATGAATTTCCAACACAAATTGATACTTAAATTTGTATTAAAAGAATATTCGGATCTTCTTTTCTTTTTTTTCTTTTCCAAAAATTTTACATAAGTGGCAGTGACATGAAATCTTGGTTGTGACGTTTTCCTTGTTTGATTGTTTATTATTTACGAGACGTGCACCAATTTGACCTCTTTTGATACTGAATATGAGGTAAAAATTTGCCAGTAACATCATACAGATTAAAGGCCTTTGTGAAAGGCTATCATTTTATTAGTAATTCTATTAAATACTAGCCTGCTACACAGCCGTTTTTAGTGTCGTCACGCAGCGCTCCTCGTTAGTGGAGAGGAGCGTTGCGTGACGACACTATAAATGATGTATAGCAGATTAATTAAATACAAGTATAAACGAATGACATCCCAGGAGGCTACAGAAGAGGACACGGGTACCCTTCAATGGTCCACCTCCTTCCACCTGCAGATTTCTTTCTCAGATAAAGGTGGATTTCCACTGTCGCGTAATTTTTATGACCGTAAGCACGTAAATTTTACGCGGGTAAATAAAATAAAGGCTGCTGCGAGTAAACGCAAAAGTTGTACTTCGGTCAACTTTTACGTTACGCACAACCTTCCATACATTGTCTCTATTTCATTTATGCGCGTAAATTTTACGCGCGTACGGACGTAAAAATTACGCGACAGTAGAAAACCAACCTTAAATGTTTTCTAACTGAAACTAACTTTAAGCACCAACCTTCACAACTCTATCACCGCCACATGTCAGCAATCTTCCTTTAGTTAGATCCAAGTACATCGAGCGTGTTGTGTGCTTTGCATCGAGAAAATCGGACAGCGGCACTCGACTGGGTTAAAAAAAAACAGATTAAATTGTCTCAAATTGTGGTTTTAAGCTCTTTGTTCCTTCACTAGAGACGCAACTATTTCTTCTCTTACGCTATGAAAAGTGGCAAGTCTGTAAATTAAATAGCTATAGTGTGATCCTCGAGCAATATGTTTGTGATTCTATGTTTGGAGTCTGTGAATAAAATCTAGTATACCATCAACATTCATATAAAACCATCGAGCAGTAATTTAGGATTTGGACAATCGGGATTTAGATTTTAAGACCCCCCAACTGGATTTACCAGTCTGCTGTACAACGTGGTTCTAACTTACTGTGACCATTCAAGTACATTGTAAAGGCTACCTAGCAGTGCTTTGCTGTGGAACTGTGCGTTATGCTGTGCAAAGAGATTTTGCAGTGGAAGATATTTTTAAGTTCACGTGACCATTCATATAACAGCTTGAATGTTCACAGCCAAGTCCCCCATCCTCACGAATGTTTTTTGATGAACACCTAAACTTTGTCAAACCCCTCCACACTTGCGTTTCTCTTACGCTTTGCTCACGGATCGCTATTTGTCACGTTCCTTCTAGTTTGGATTGAGTCTAATTGACAGCTACTGAACAGAACTTTCCACGACACTGAATACGCCGTAAAATGAGGTTCACACTTTTGAATCAGAAATCCTCCAATGTGGTTATTCACATTATACCGACTGAGCAGCATTTTCCTGTGGAACTTTGTGGAACTTTAGGCCGAAAAACATGCAGTTGGCTTCAGATTTTCAAGGCGTCCGCGTGAGATTTTCGCAAGAAGCTATTTGGAAGTGGCAGTCGAGTGAAACTGTTTGTTAGGGTGTGCAAATTGTCTCTTGTTTTTGTCTCTGCGGAAGAAATCCTCAAGCGTGACCATTCAAATAATGAAACAGGGCTTTAAAACATGGCATTACACTTACTCATCATCAGTGATGGATTCATAACATTCAACGCAAAAGCGGACTGAATTTTCAAAGCCCATGATCGGATACGCTGATTCATTGCAACTACATTCATTACAAACTGCTCTGCCACACTTCCGACAGTGATGCTGAAAAATCAAAGAAACCATTAGTCAATGCATAGATTTTCACAAATGTTAGGACTTGACATGTACTATACTATATTAACCCTAAAGTTACTGTTTTGAAAGATGGAGACACTTTTGCTATTTATAACTTACTGAAAAGCCAGAAAGCTTGTTTTTAACTTCATAGGCCCAATAATCGCATGCTTGCATTGACTGACGCCACTGATTTAAAAACCTCTGGTTCTCTTGACACGGATATTGTACGTAATGAGCAAGTCCCTCATTTGGGAGGGACTTTAAGATGCCACAACTGCCGGCGATGACAATGAGAACGTCAAAAAAGCAATAGTTTGAATAGGCAAAACAACAACTCTGCACGTGCAGCACGCTTTTTTGTACACTTCTTTACCGTCATTGCACGACTACGACGGGAAAATGCCTAATTTCACGTTTTATGGAGGACGTAAACAAGCGACGGCTAAATTTCTTTCTCTTTCTGAACTTGAATATGGTTCTTAGGTATTCGGCTCAAAAAGAGTTCGCTTGCATTTGAAGATAATTTCTCATTTGAGTTGGAGTAATCACGATAGAGATTGAAAGAACCCAAATTCGCCGTCGTAATATCTTAAACTCCCTGTTAACACCTATGAAGGTGATACACTACTTGACAGGGAAGGAGAGGGGTTGGGGCGGGGGGGCACCTTGAAGGTCATACCTGTCTCACACCCACTGTTTTCTGATTCCACATAACCTTGAAATTCCAGAAGAAAGGACTACTACATCTCTCACAGACATCACTTTGCGACCATTCTGGTGTCTAATACAGATACAATAAAAAAGGAATTGAAAACACTTTACTTTTGTCTTTAATTTTGTCTTTCCAAAGTATTTCTCTCACTGAACGTTTATCACTCAACAACCGATTAATTTTTTTATTTCCTTGACACACTAATAATACACAATACTCTACTGTTTCCTCTCCTCTTGTTAAAAAAGGAACAAGCCATAGCCTTATGTAGATTGTTTTAACACACCTCTTGTCGTTTAACATTCATGTCCCAAATTCTAACAACGCCATCTTCACTGCATGATATTAACTTCTTGGCATGTGGTGCATAACACAGACCCTGTACTTTAGACCTGGTGCAAGGTAATAAATAAAAATAGATTAATTTCTCATGGGAGCCAGAGAAAATTGATTTCAAATTTCACAGGAATTGTGAAAACACAGGTAAAATTTCATGGTGTGAGATTTTCAGCTTTTGAAATTTGTTTCCTTGGGCTCTCATGAGAAAGTTTCTTTAGTGTTATTACATATAACTAATTACATTTTTAGTCCTTTCAAAGAAAAGTGTAAATAAGAAAGCAATATGCTTTAAATTATTCTGGTACAAGGATTTTCTCCACTAAAAATTAAAATTACTCAATTTCCTAATGGCTTCCGTCTTAAAGTGCTGAGTACTTATTGTTAAAAAATGCTTTGTTTATAGCAGAAGTGGGCTAAGCTGCTCTAACTATGAAAATACTCGTCACATTTGTTGAAACACTATAGTCATGTTTTGCCCTCCCCAATGCTGATTCCCATATTACCCATTTGCAAATAAATGTAATAATCATTTGATGCAATTTTTTCTTCCTTTTCATTAGCCAAGAGCCCATCACGTGACCAGGAAATTATAACTGCCTACAAATAATGGTCTGCTTATGCGTAATGTCGTCCAACTGTGTTTGGCTGCAATTGATAATATTCTGCTCATGCTTAAATGAGAGTACGCTTTTCTCCTTCTTCCGATTACTATTGCGTGAAAAATGGCAGATCGCTTCGCTTCCCGAAGATATTCATTAAAAAACAAACTTGGTGATCCAATGATAAAACAATATTGAACTTGATCATCGCAAAATATCATGATTTGCCAGTGTCTCGCAGATCCATTGTTTTATTTGCCTAAGCCTTTGGCTTTGGCAAATAATTAATCTGCTCACCACTGACAAATCACAATATTTTGCCCAACCTCGTGCAATAATTGTTAATTCTCAAAATTGGGGAAGGAGAGAAGAATTACTCGGAAGTTGAGAAGTTGGTTGAGAAGGCGTGGCAAGAGAAATCTTTCATTTTCAGCCTATTGTTTCAATGAAATTTGACAAGTATTGTATTTGTCACAGGATATGAAGAAAACAGTCTTCAAGCCATGGTTTTCTTACAAATGTCCATGAAGTTCAAAGGCAGTTCCTTGCTGTCCTCCTATATCCCATACTATAATGGATTCATCAAAACTACCAGAAAATAACAACCGCTTCTCAGGGTCCCAGGCAAGGGCACGTACGCTTCCTGGAAAAAAAAAATGGGAAAAATAAATTATTAACAAGGCAAAATTTTTAAAACCTGGATTTATTCAAGAGATACCCTGGGTGCATTCCTTTAGGATGATTCAGATCAGGAACATGATCTGAGATCACTCCAATCATGGTACATCAAATAGCCTGAAGGCAAGCTCTCCAGGGCGCTCTGGTGGTTGGGTGGAAAAAGGAAGGAGGGCTTGCCACCACATCTCTGGAATTTGAATTCCACCTTCAATTCCTCTGTGGCTCCCCGTCAACTGAGCTGTCAATCAATCTGAGCACCAATCAGTGTGAACTGGAAAGAGTGCAAATGTAAACAAATATTGAAAAACACATGCCAAAGGTAATGACATCATTACTAATGTCATCTCTGCCAATCAGCATTTCGCATCGACTTTTTCGATGCAGATATTCAAATTCCAGAGACGTAATTGCAAGCTTTCCTTCCTTTTCCTGCCCCACTGCCAGAGCACCCCAGAGAGCTTGCTTGCAGGTTATACATCAAATAAACTGATGAATCCTTTCTCACGGTGGATTTGTTGGTTCCTTTGACATGTTATGATCTGAATACTCCTGGATTTGTTCACTAATCCTGATCTGGATCATCCCAGTGGAACATAACCTCTTTTATTATATGGAGGAGAGTGTTTTACTGGGAACTAAACCACTCGTAGATTCCATACGCCACTTCATCCGGGACCCGAGTGGCGTATTTTCCGTATGTCACCTTTGTGAGTGTCGTATCGTTCAATGACGTCACGATTCCCGCCTTTTGCTTTTGTTGAATTGGTTTCTCCATATAATAAAAAGAACATTACACTTTGGCTCGAAGATATGAATTTTATGTTCTCGTGGCAAGAACAATATCTCACTCGTTCGCTTCGCTCACTCGTGAGATATTGTTCTTGCCACTCAAACATAAAATCCATATCTTCTCGCCACCGTGTAATATCCTCTATATAGATGACTATCCACTATATGCAAAATGGAATTCTGCAAGTAATAGAACTGAAGAGCTCACGGACTGTCATCAGTAAGTTCATTTAGTAGGCTATGTTTGCAGTCTCATTCTGTAGCATGCCTTATCAGAAAGTTCTGTCAAAACCATCTAGTACCGGTATAGAGAAAAAGGAAGCCGGACGACTGGAGGAACAAAGGTACAGAGAACTGTAGTCAGCTGCCATATTTATGCGCTAAAAGGAGAGCTGTGTGATGACCCAAAAAGTGCAGAAAACAAGACTAAGTAAGTCAGATTATTATTGGATTAGTAATGTTCATTTAGCACTGGTGAATTGGAATGACCTAGTGGTAAAAGGCCTATCGCAATTCCAGACAATAATGTTATTATAATATTGAAAATACTAATATTTGCACTCTTTAAGAAAGAAATATTTCTGCAAAATACCAGCTGTGTGGATATTGTACTGCAGTAAAAGTTTAATGTCTAGCTTTCATGACCAAACACATAGTTCATGATGAGATTCGGTAATTTCATGACACTTTCAAGAGTGAGAAGAATAAAATCAGGATCAGCTCACCACTTCTAGACACTAAAGACCTTATGCAACCATGAGGACCATGGCAGTGAAAAATAAGGCCAAAATGGCTGGAGCTTATTCCAGTATCCTTGGCATGAAGCATGGCTAGGAGTATTGCTACTTCCCTTGGACACGATGCTAGTCCATCACAGGGTTAGCTTCTCTGAGCTATGATTTATATTCCATGTTGGGCGACCAAAAAGCATTAAAAAACACTTTCCAAGTCACTAAATTCCAAGTTGAAGAAAATTCAAGGACTTCTCAAGGGCTTGCACAGAAGTTTAAGGACTTTTTAAGGAAAAATGGAATTCAAGGACTTTTCAAGACTGAGCAAACCCTTTCCCTACTAATTTATCACTACAAAAGCATTAGACTAGATTGGATTAGAACTGAGTGACAGGACCCATCCTAATCACCTGTGCCAAACCATATGTGCCATGGAGGCAACTTGCCTGAGTGACCATTGAGTGTTGTAACCAGTGATGGTGAGTTGTTTTCTAGTTTTATCACACTGATGTGGCCTCCTAAATCTCCAACAAAGACATGTTTTGAGTCAGCATCAAATCTAAAACTTGTTAAGGAACCTCAAGAGACGTCTGGCTCTACTTCTGATCAGGGACTCTGCTTTGATGGCAATGATTGTATACTAGATACCATCAATTCTCTTTATAGTGGACACTGTAGGGAGCTCGAGTTAGCGTCCTCAATAGCAAGAGTCCGCAAAAACGAGAGTTAATTTTACCCAAACATCTGTAATTTATTTTTGCCTGGGATTTAGCTGCTGTCCTTATTACTGGGGTGTCTGTTAAAGTGGGGTGTCTGCAAGGCAAGAGTTGACTGTGATTAACCAATGTTAATAATGGTATAAACTGTATTGCCTGCATCTTCCAAATGTCATCATTGCCAGCTGGGTATGAAGAATTAGTTGGTCGTGGATTAAAGCTAATTAAAAATGGTGAAATATTCTGAATAATAATTCAACTGCAAGCATGAAAATAATATTAATAAAGAAGGGATGTGTAGAATAAGGTCCTTAGTAAGTCCTCATCTAATTATGTTTAATTCTCCATCTCGTAAACAAGCAAAACAGGGCAAGTTGCCAGAAAATACTGGCAGTTTATCAGAAATCAGGTGCGTCTATATTCTATATACCTCCATCACTAAGCCTCTGTATGAGTACTTGTGGACATATATTTTGTCATGCGTTTCCCATCAAATTGTCGGTTTACCAGGCAGAATTGTCGCATTTCAAGGATTGTTTTTAGTGGTAATGCTACTGGCTAACTCAACATAACAACAAGAGAAAACAAGCAAAACAAAACTCTGAACATACTGCACAGTTTTTGGTATATTTCCTTACCATCATTGCACGACTAACGTTGTTAAACTTGATTAAAATAGCAATGAGATTGTTGCTTTAATGTCCAAGATTGTTGCTTCATCAATAGCGACTGTCACGACTTCGATTCAATCAGAGATGCCCATACAGGAGGCTTTAAAATTTGCTATAGTAATGTAAAAAATCAAATCTTGGCCTAAGAGGGAAAGAAGGGTTTATTCTAGAGTGCGGCCCTGCAGGATTTCTGTAATTTGGGAAAAAAACCCTAAACTGTAAGTTGCCGCATCAAATGGGGCGCAAAAAAAAATAGACCCAAGGATAAGTATTCGAAAACATCACTGACAACAACACCGATTTGACGGCCGCTCTATAAACTTACTTTGAACTTTTTTAGCCTCTTACTATCTCAATTGCCTTTCTCTTCCTTGTCTGAGTCATTATTTCACCAGACAAACATCCGAGGTTCTGCAGTAATTCAAGCACAGGCTTTTCCAGTTGCCCAGAAAGTTCCAAACTAGCAGCAAGGCGTCTGGTGAGTCCAATCCATGTAGAATGTCAAAAGTCTCAAAAAGTACTTAGTTTTTTTAGATTTGGTGCCCCCTTCCTTGGACCCCCTCTCTTGAAAAAGGGCCCCCTAAAATTACAGAAGGGGGCCCATTTGACCCTCATTGGCCAATTTCTAGAATAAACCCTGGAAAGGGTCAACCATTCAACCTGCTGCAGTCTTATCAGTTAAAAGGATACTGCAGTGAAGTGCACCAAGCCTCAGTTTGATATCCACCCAGTCTTTTTCCATTTGTACAATCATGCCACTGCAAGTACTTGTCCCTTCCTACACTTAACAGCCATTCATTCTCCAGAGAAAATATTATGCCACTCACTCTATTCATGTGTGCTAAAAGAAAGAAATTGATTGACACATGTTCTAAATGGAGAAGCCTGCTGAGACAAACGCTAACTGCAGGATCAGGCTTAGCATGTGAAAACGGCTGACATTTTGCAATGCCATCAGTGGTTTCCCAGGAAATAAAGTCTGAGGAACAAGCACAGAAATTCAATTCTGATTACATATCACAACCCAAATCTGAGTGGTACTTCTGGTTGGTTAAAGCAAATTCTAGATCTAGGTCCTGACAGGTCAACAGTATAAAATTTCTGCGTTCCTTGCTCAGATGACATTTTGCAGGCAAACCAGTGGTGGCCTCAGCCTTTTTTTTTAAGGCTAATTCAAGCTTCAAGGTTCAATTCAATTTTACCCTATTTATAGAAAAGGTGGACTGATAAAGAGTTATAAAAGTTGTAAGATCTTTTCAATAATTATCATTCCAGCAAAAATTATTATAATATAGGATGTGTGCTGTGGCCAGAGAAGCATACACTTTCAAGTTGGCCACCTGCACCTACTTTAAAAGAAATAAATAAACAAAAAACACACTGAGCTTATGTATAGAGAAAAAGGAAGCCGGACGACTGGAGGAACAAAGGTACAGAGAACTGTAGTCAGCTGCCATATTTATGCGCTAAAAGGAGAGCTGTGTGATGACCCAAAAAGTGCAGAAAACAAGACTAAGTAAGTCAGATTATTATTGGATTAGTAATGTTCATTTAGCACTGGTGAATTGGAATGACCTAGTGGTAAAAGGCCTATCGCAATTCCAGACAATAATGTTATTATAATATTGAAAATACTAATATTTGCACTCTTTAAGAAAGAAATATTTCTGCAAAATACCAGCTGTGTGGATATTGTACTGCAGTAAAAGTTTAATGTCTAGCTTTCATGACCAAACACATAGTTCAACATGATGAGATTCGGTAATTTCATGACACTTTCAAGAGTGAGAAGAATAAAATCAGTATCAGCTCACCACTTCTAGACACTAAAGACCTTATGCAACCATGAGGACCATGGCAGTGAAAAATAAGGCCAAAATGGCTGGAGCTTATCCCAGTATCCCTAGCATGAACCATGGCTAGGAGTACGGCTACTTCCCTTGGACATGATGCTAGTCCATCACAGGGTTAGCTTCTCTGAGCTATGATTTATATTCCATGTTGGGCGACCAAAAAGCATTAAAAAACACTTTCCAAGTCACTAAATTCCAAGTTGAAGAAAATTCAAGGACTTCTCAAGGGCTTGCACGGAAGTTTAAGGACTTTTTAAGGAAAAATGGAATTCAAGGACTTTTCAAGACTGAGCAAACCCTTTCCCTACTAATTTATCACTACAAAAGCATTAGACTAGATTGGATTAGAACTGAGTGACAGGACCCATCCTAATCACCTGTGCCAAACCATATGTGCCATGGAGGCAACTTGCCTGAGTGACCATTGAGTGTTGTAACCAGTGATGGTGAGTTGTTTTCTAGTTTTATCACACTGATGTGGCCTCCTAAATCTCCAACAAAGACATGTTTTGAGTCAGCATCAAATCTAAAACTTGTTAAGGAACCTCAAGAGACGTCTGGCTCTACTTCTGATCAGGGACTCTGCTTTGATGGCAATGATTGTATACTAGATACCATCAATTCTCTTTATAGTGGACACTGTAGGGAGCTCGAGTTAGCGTCCTCAATAGCAAGAGTCCGCAAAAACGAGAGTTAATTTTACCCAAACGTCTGTAATTTATTTTTGCCTGGGATTTAGCTGCTGTCCTTATTACTGGGGTGTCTGTTAAAGTGGGGTGTCTGCAAGGCAAGAGTTGACTGTGATTAACCAATGTTAATAATGGTATAAACTGTATTGCCTGCATCTTCCAAATGTCATCATTGCCAGCTGGGTATGAAGAATTAGTTGGTCGTGGATTAAAGCTAATTAAAAATGGTGAAATATTCTGAATAATAATTCAACTGCAAGCATGAAAATAATATTAATAAAGAAGGGATGTGTAGAATAAGGTCCTTAGTAAGTCCTCATCTAATTATGTTTAATTCTCCATCTCGTTAACAAGCAAAACAGGGCAAGTTGCCAGAAAATACTGGCAGTTTATCAGAAATCAGGTGCGTCTATATTCTATATACCTCCATCACTAAGCCTCTGTATGAGTACTTGTGGACATATATTTTGTCATGCGTTTCCCATCAAATTGTCGGTTTACCAGGCAGAATTGTCGCATTTCAAGGATTGTTTTTAGTGGTAATGCTACTGGCTAACTCAACATAACAACAAGAGAAAACAAGCAAAACAAAACTCTGAACATACTGCACA